CAAGCAGGAAAAAATAACCAAAAAGTTTTTCCAAAAGGCTTAGTGAAAGATTTATTTTCTAGATTTTAAAACAAGTGACAATTACCAAAACTATGTGATATTAGATTAAAAGCAAGGAAGAAATGATGAGATAGAGTATATTTTTTAAAAGTAAATTAAAACCATTATAAGAACTTACTACATGAAAAAAAAATACAGTGCAAGAAATAATCATAATTCAGTACGTGGGCACAATCGAATCACAGTACAGAGAATATATTAGATTCATACCTTATATCATATACTTATAATAAATTTTGGTCGAAACAAAATGATGAACATAAGAAAACTAGAAGAAAATAAGCATATTCTTTCCAACTAAAAAAGGGAGAAATACTTCTGATTCTCTAATGTTATAATTAGACATAAAATAGATGTTATAACATCCAAAAACCAAAAGAGCTTAAAAGATAAAATATAAGTGAGAAGGGGCACCTGGATGGCTCAGTCGGTTGAGCATCTGACTCTTGATTTCAGCTCAGGTCATGATCCCAGGGTCCTGGGATTGAGCACCGCTTTGATCTCTCTTTCTCTCTGTCCCCCTCCCCCCCACTTGCACTTGCTCCCTAAAATAAAAAAAATATGTGTGTGTGGGGGGGAAGAGTATATGTTATAAATGTTAAAGAAAAGTTTTACCATGGAAAAAAATCAGGAATTGATCTAATCATTTGAGGTCAATATTCAGCTTTCATGTAAAATGAGGTCATAGGAAGGTTTACACACAAGGAAATGTAGACAATAAATCACCATATGGAAAAACGCTCAGGCTGAATAGCAACTAAAGAGATGTAGACGAAAGGACTTTGAAAGACCACAGAACGTCAATTAAAGTAAGTGCAGGCATTGGCGCTACAGAGAATGGGCTTTGGAGTCTGATTAATACAGATACGGATCTCGGCTTTGCCATGGCCCAGCAGTATCCTTGACCAAAAGTCTTAATTTCTCAGCGTCAGTTTTGCAGTCGGCAACAAGGGGCCATTATACACCTAGAAGGGTTATTGTGAGCCCGGAACGGTTAATGGGTTAATGTAAGTAAACAGTCAGGACGGCATGTGGCACATGCTCGATGTCTTCAATAATGGTGGTGGCATATAGTGATGATGGGGACGATGATGGTGACAATAGCTGATCATGGGGAAGGGACGATGATGGTGACAATAGCTGGTCATGGGGAAGGCGGCAGTTATAAAAGTAATGGCGGTAGTGAGTGATGGAGGTATGGGTGGCCGTTTTGTGGATGAGAGTGACCGTGATGTCAGTGACAGCGTTGTGGTGGCATTTTGAAGGTGATGGTGACAGTGGGGGTGGATGATGATGATGGGGATGGTATTCATGGTGAAGGTAGCTGATGACTAATGGTGCTGCTTTTGGTTGTCTGGGCAAAGGTAACGATAATGGGAGTGGTCATGATGTCAGGGGGCAGGGGTGGTGGCAGCGATGTGGTAAAAACACTTAAAATGATTAATGACATTGCTTGGTAGATAAATCAGCAAAACGGAATGCTAAAGATTCAATGCTATATGGACCTGTAATTTATCTTTTAACCTTCCCAGAAAGCAGCCTAGCAAGATACAGCAAGAGCCGATATATTGTGCACTTTGACACAGGAATTAAACCCTTGGGAATATGGATCGGAAAAAAAAAAAATCCCTAAATTAAAATTGCTCTGGAAATGGTATAGCGATGCTATTTATAACTGGGAACAATCCAAAGCGTCAACAATAGGGAGGTGACTAAGCAAATCATGATACGTCAAGATAATGGAATAATATCATGTAGCTATTTAAAGTGAAACACGAGGAAATATGCATATGAAAAAAATTGTGTTAGAACAGCACAGAACTGTGTGTGGATAGTCAGTGTGTGTTTGTGTGCTTTTACCAAAGAACAGAAGAAATGATAAACACATGTGCATAGAGTTTTGTAAAGATTCGACCTGCATTCAGCTTTTTCCTTTTATATATATACTTGCTTAATGGACCCTGAATTTTTATGAAAGATTATGATGGAACTTGAAGCTATACCTCACTCCAAAGAGCTGGCCCCTAACTGATCAATTCCAAGGTCAGCCATCTCCCATCCCCTCCTTGGGCCCCATTTACCACCCATCTTTTAGGGCTCCTCCCACCTCTCTGTGACTCATTTTGTCTTCACAATGGTCAGGGAGAGCTTTCGGAACCAAAATAATGTTCTGTTTCAAAACGAAACCAGAGGTCCTAAAAAGCTTAGCGGCATCTATCTGAGTGTATATCTACGAATTTGAATGTGGGATAGATTTGTGGTTGTGTATGAAAGGCCCGGGAGTATTGATAAGCTGTAAACTTGGGGGTAGTTACTTGACTCCTCCGTGCCTCCATTTCTCTGGCTGTAAAAGGGAAAAAACAATGGTAATGAACTCATTGAGCTATTGCAAGGGTTAAATGAGATAATCCCCGCAAAACATGGCAGGATGCTTGATTCATAATGAGTTCATATTCATTGTTATTTACACTGAATATTAGCATTGCTCTTACTAGTCTAAGTACTCTTCCAGAAATTATCAAGAACTCTGGATTAAATATAAAAGTTCTGGGTTACCAGCTTCGTCATCTATACAATGGAGCATTAGATCAGGTAATTTGTGACATTCTGTTTCTCTGTTGTCTAGGAGACAGTAATGTTCCTTTTTATTGATTTCTGCCTCATTTTTGGAAGGATAATAATAAACTCAAAAAATATAAACTTAAACGGACTTCCCCTCTGTTTAAGTATTGTTTTAATAAAATACTAATGTTTATCTTGTTAAAATATTCTGAACCCTGTCTTAATTCTCTCGATGGAAACATCAAAACGTTATCGTTCCTCATGAAACACGTTACACTTATATTTGAAATACATAATACATAATACAAAACCTCTCTGCTTTTTCAATAATTTCTTATTTGATTTGGGGTTCTGCACCTCCAAGTTTATTCTGGGGGTTTAATTTTCATTTTTGCTAGTTTTATTCCTTTGCGGTTCTGTAATTTTTCAAAACAAATTTATTTCAACCCATCAAGGTAGAAACAACATTGTAAGGTCTACTTAAGAAGTGAGGCAGATAAGAAAAAAAAAAAGAAAAAGAAAAAGAAAAAGACGCAAGACAAGTAATTGTAGGCCTTAGGAAATTCAGAACCCCCAGACCCTCCCCCGGGTGTTTTTCATCCTTACATCCTCAACACAGGCACGCCTCGGGAAAACCCTAGAGGGCGCTGTTTTCCTGCTTGTTACCACTTTTGCCTTGCCTTCTCGATGGGAAAATGGAAAGAAAAAGAGAGGAGTGAAGCAAATTCATCATCCACAAAACACAAACCATCCAAGCCCGAGGGGGATGAGGGTATGAAGTCTCAGTGCCTCTTTGCCGGGTGAGGATGCAGAAGCCCGGTGAGCTTGTCCAAGGTCACTCCATCACTCCTTAGTGGCAGAGACAAAGCTAGAGTCCAGACCTCGGACCCAGACCTTTTCTCCACCACCTGCTCTTTCATTGGATAAAACACAGAATATCAAGTGGGAGGCCCAGACAAACACTTCTGGGCACACACTCTCCCTTGCTTACTAGTTTGTGTTTCCAAGGAGTATGGTCACTGACTGACAGGTAAGGGTATATTTAGGAGTGTAGAATTCACAGGGATTTTCAATAAGAAATGTTTGAAACCTCAGAGAGATCAGCTTATTTATCTCGAAGTATAAGTTTCATGTATTTCATGAGGAAATATAGCATTTCAATGTTTCCATTGAGAGAATTGAGACAATGTTCAAAATATTTTAGCAAGGTGAACAGTATTTTATTAATGCAATATTTAAAATTTTTAAAAATAAAGTTAAAAAAATTTTTTTTTCTTTATTTATTCTTGAGAGTGAGACAAGGTGTGAGCAGGGGAGGAGCATAGAGAGAGGCAGACACAGAATCTGAAGCAGGCTGCAGGCTCCGAGCTGTCAGCACAGAGCCCGACGTGGGGCTCGAACTCATGAACCGTGACATCATGACCTGAGCTGAAGTTGGATGCTCAACCAACTGAGCCACCCAGGGGTCCCTAAAAATAAAGTTTGGAGGGGAGGTCCACTCTCTACCTAGGCCACTCATGAATTATACTGAATAACTGCCTTATTAGCCCCAACCAGTTGCTACTGGATGGGATGGTGATGCTATTATTGATGATGATAATGATGATGGCTTACATTTATTGAGTACTTTCTGTGTGCCAGGTACTGTGCTAGGTGGTTTGTATCCATTGGCTCATTTACCCCTTACAATCGCCTTATAAGGCATGTACTATGAGGAGAGTGAGAATTAGGAGTTTTAAGTAGCTAGCCTAGAATCATACATGTGGCAGGCAAATAATTGGACCGTAAAAATAGACCAGGGGTTTCATTTGTTTATCTGCCATGTTCTCAGATACCTGCGACTCTAGAAAATGCGATCGAGATGAATTAAGAGAGAGGGGCACCTCGGTGGCTCAGTCGGTTAAGCATCCGACTCTTGGTATTGGCTCAGGTCATGATCTCACGGTTCATGGGACGGAGCCCCACACTGGGGCTTTCAGTGCAGAGCCTGGTTGACATTCTCCCCTTCCTTCTCTCTCTCTCTCTCTTTCTCTCTCCCCCTCTCCTCCTCCTCTCTCTCTCTCTCTCAAAAAATTAAATACACTTAAAAAAAAAAAAGATGGATTCAGAGAGAGAAAGACTTGAGGTAGTGGAGGTGTGGCAGTTAGACTCATTTTCTGTCTTTAGTGCTGCCGAATCGAATAAGGCAAAGTCCTAATGTGCCCGGTTCATGTTCTAGTTATGAAGAGAAGACAGGATAGTTGCTTCACAGTTGAGGGTAGCACTTAGAAGAGGTTGAGGTTAGGACCCACATCAAGGGCAGGTCAGAAGAAACACATCTGAACCATGGAGAGGAGGAAGAGAGAAATGCCCTTCAACTGTGTTTCCTTTTCTTCCAGAGGCCAGTTCCCTCACCTGTTGGCACACGGCACCAAGGTAAGGCAGAAAAGCTCTCTGTATATAACTTGCATTGGGCGTCCTAATTTGTCACTGCAGGCTCAGAGGGAATGACCGTCCATCCTTCAGTTCCTAGATTCATGGGGTTGGCAAAGCTAAATAAGGCACACTGCCTGCTTTGATATGCTTGTGTTGGAGTTGAGAGAAAAGGCATCCCCATCTAGAATCTGGGGGGAAAATCAAGTTCGGTAAGGAATTCCTTGCCGTAGTTGAAGGCTTTTTGATTAATAAAAAAAAAGCAAATATCCGGATAAAAAAATAACCACCTCAAACCATATTTATGCCTTGACATGACTGTACTTGCCAGATATTTTTCCAAGAGTAATGCTGGAAGAAGGTGTGCAAAGAGGGGCGCCTGGGTGGCTCGGTCAGTTAAGTGTCTGACTTCGGCTCAGGTCATGATCTCGTGGTCAGTGAGTTCGAGCCCCACGTCGGGCTCCGTGCTGACAGTTCAGAGCCTGGATCCTGCTTTGGATTCTGTGTACCACCACCCCCCCCCC